CGCAAACCACAAGGCGGAATCATGATGCCTTAAGTCTTGTATGCACTAACGTTCCTGGATCCAAATCCAACACAAGAAAGGGCAATATGATAGATGATTGTTGTCAGTGGGATTCCATCTGTAGTGTCATCAGCCTGCTCATTGAAACCACTAAGCTGAGCTGCATCGCAAGACACCCAAACGACTTACACTATGGTGAACCTCGACTTCTTCGAGTAACACTACATTCCGCGGAAGAAACGGAATCCATTCTGCTCACTGCAAATCGACATCACAAATCATCGAACGGATTATGTATCTTACCGGATTTTCAGTGGAAAAAACGTTTAAAGGATATGAACAATAAACTGGGAAGTAGAAAACACGCGCTAAAAAACCGTCATTATTCATGGTGTCCCCGAGTCTCAAGCTTTATCTCCTGACGAAGCTCAGGCGCATGACCTTGAGAAAAAACGATACGTTCGTGAGGCGCTGTCTTTAAAAAATGTTATTGACACCACCCTGACCAGGACTCTCTTGTCACCAAATTACAAAGTGTGTGGTCCTAGGTTGCTGAAGTCAGTCTTACCTTCTGAGCTAACTTTACAGACAGTTCAAGAGAACTGGGGTAAATTCCGGAACATGTTACCAATAGAAATGCGAATAAAAGCCACAAGTGTACGACCAGAGGCTACTGGTTTCTTAATGGAGAGAACCAACTCAGTGGGAACAACCATTGTTGCAGAGTCCACCACAGAGACTTATCTGACTGCCATCATAGCACCCGGCGAGGCAAGGCAGGAGGTGAGTGACCGCCAGGATTTTCATGAACCTGGTCACACGGTGCAGAGAGTTATTCCGAATAATTCTCGCGAGCCCTAGGCGATTCAAAAAAACTAGTAGCAGCCGACCTCAAGAGGGTCGGCCAAGTCTCAAACCTGTTGTCTACATCCACAAATAACTTTATAACCTATGAATCACTCTCCTGTTTTTATACCAACACATAGGGTATTTTAAGCAAACTGACGGAGCTTCGCCTGCGTCAGGTCTCGATGTCAAGGGACCTCGTTATGATAATCGGGACCTGGTTAAACGAAGCCATCACTGATGCAGAAATCGCACTACCTGAGATGTCTATTCTACGGAACGATCGACCAAGTAGAGGAGGTGGAGTAGCACTTTACTACCGCAGCGAACCACTCTTGGATCTCATCGATGACCCAGAGGTTCAGATTGTCCATGCGCTTTGGTGTCGCCTTCATCTTAGCCGTGGAGACGCATGTTTTTTGAGTGTGTTATATCGCCCTAGGTCGGCTACTCTTGAAATGGACAACTGCCTTGCCTCCACAATGAAGACGATTCTCACGCAGTCGTACAGCCACATTCTCTTGGTTGGCTACTTCAATATTCATAGCATAGAAACCCCAGCCTGTATCAACGACACTTTAAAATGAAAGTACAGGAGATAATTAGTGGGCTACCACTCTACAATCACATCACATCTCCCACAAGATCCTGGACGAAAAACAAACCGGGTGTCTTGGATCATGTATTCACCAATGAGGAGCTTATGATCTAAACGGTATCGATAGAGAGTCCTTTAGGCCGTAGCGACCATGCAAAAATCATGTTCAAGTACATCTGTTATGCAGAGTATTCCTCAGAAAACACCGAGGAATGTCAGCTCATTACGGATTACGGCGCTCTAATCAAAATTATAGATGCTACAAACCGGGCATTTCTAGCAGAACGACCTCCCGATGTCGCTTGGTCTGAATTCGCTCGCCAATTCAACACGGCAGTAACTAGTGCTTATTGGAAAAGACCTTCGCGAGCAAAGATAGTGAAATCATTCATACGCAGCAGGACACGCAAGTGTATCGTCCCGAGGAATTTACTCTGACGAAGATACAAGTAGTAATCGAGTGACGAAACATGGGAGGCCTACACTATCCAAAGGAATCACTGCGTAAACCTGGTACGTGAAGATAAAATACAGCACCAACAGAATCTAGCCGATAAATTTCTTTCAAAACCCAAGCTCATGTACAGACACGTTAACAAGCACCGCAAAGTGCAGCGAGGAATTCCTGCCTTACACACAATGTGTGGTCTTGCACAAAACGCAACCGAGGCGGCCAACGCCCTATGTCAACAATTCACCCCGAACTTCCAGAGCAAGACATCGCCGCATACACTGTTCCCGATCGTTTGACCACCACCAGGACTTAGCCACATCAAGTTTACGACTGTGGATATTATGAAAATCCTAATTGCCCTGCGCGAGCATACCTCTCTCGGTGTCGATAATATTCGTCCAAAAGCGTTGAAATTGGCTGCAGTAAACCTGGCGGACCCCCTCTGCAAGTTTTTTCAATGATGTCTCAATGAGATGCGCGTGCCAAGGATGTGGATGCAAGGCATGGTCTCTCCCATCCATAAGGGGGAAGTCGTACAGTTCCGGCCAACTATCGCCGACAACACTACTTCCGGTGCTCTCCAAACTCACGGAAGCGATTGTTGCCGAAGCGCTAATGAACTTCTTGGAAGAACACAATATCATAAGAACAACACGGATTTCACAAGAAGCGATATTGCACTTCAACCATGCTGCTTGTCAGATCCAGTTGGACTGGACCGTTAACAGCGGCGTAGGTGTTGACGCAGTATATCTGGACTTCTGCAAGGCTTTCGATTGTCTGAACCACTGCATCCTCCTTTACAAGCTGCCGTGTTGTGGGATTGGTGACCCAATCTTTGATTGGATAGTTAACCTTTTGCTTCAACGAATCTGAATGTAAGTGTTCGCGGCGTCATCTGTGACCCAATCGAGGTTAAGTGCTTACTGCCCCATGGCTCAGTGCTTGATCCAAGACTATTCCTGTATGTTGAATGGTAAACGAGCGCGCGCATGAGAGGGTAAGCACGCCTCCATACTGCCTCACGACGTCGCTGCCACTGTGAGTGATCCCATGGGGAGTGTACGATGCCTGTGTGTTTCTTTCCTCTGCGGGAGTTTGGCAGTCTGACGTGTCTGCTCGAGAGGATGTGCGGTAGTATCTAAGGTAGCGTCGTTGGGGCCGTCGTCTGCTGTTCCGGCCGCTGGACATATTCGCGTACATATTGGCGATGGGGGTGGGGCTGTCGCCATGTATTGATCCTCTGTGGCTGTGTTGTCATGTCGGGGGTGTGATTTGTGGGCATGCTCGACCTCAGGAGGTGCTCGGGTGGGGAGGCGTTGGCGTGGCAGGTGGGGGGTGGGGGGGGGCGGAGGGGGGGGTGGGGGGGGGGGGGGGGGGGGGGGGGGGGGGGGGGGGGGGGGGGGGGGGGGGGGGGGGGGGGGGGGGGGGGGGGGGGGGGGGGGGGGGGGGGGGGGGGGGGGGGGGGGGGGGGGGGGGGGGGGGGGGGGGGGGGGGGGGGGGGGGGGGGGGGGGGGGGGGGGGGGGGGGGGGGGGGGGGGGGGGGGGGGGGTGGGGGGGGGGGGGGGGGGGGGGGGGGGGGGGGGGGGGGGGGTGGGGGGGGGGGGGGGGGGGGGGGGGGGGGGGGGGGGGGGGGGGGGGGGGGGGGGGGGGGGGGGGGGGGGGGGGGGGGGGGGGGGGGGGGGGGGGGGGGGGGGGGGGGGGGGGGGGGGGGGGGGGGGGGGGGTGGGGGGGGGGGGGGGGGGGGGGGGGGGGGGGGGGGGGGGGGGGGGGGGGGGGGGGGGGGGGGGGGGGGTGGGGGGGGGGGGGGGGGGGGGGGGGGGGGGGGGGGGGGTGGGGGGGGGGGGGGGGGGGGGGGGGGGGGGGGGGGGGGGGGGGGGGGGGGGGGGGGGGGGGGGGGGGGGGGGGGGGGGGGGGGGGGGGGGGGGGGGGGGGGGGGGGGGGGGGGGGGGGGGGGGGGGGGGGGGGGGGGGGGGGGGGGGGGGGGGGGGGGGGGGGGGGGGGGGGGGGGGGGGGGGGGGGGGGGGGGGGGGGGGGGGGGGGGGGGGGGGGGGGGGGGGGGGGGGTGGGGGGGGGGGGGGGGGGGGGGGGGGGGGGGGGGGGGGGGGGGGGGGGGGGGGGGGGGGGGGGGGGGGGGGGGGGGGGGGGGGGGGGTGGGGGGGGGGGGGGGGGGGGGGGGGGGGGGGGGGGGGGGGGGGGTGGGGGGGGGGGGGGGGGGGGGGGGGGGGGGGGGGGGGGGGGGGGGGGGGGGGGGGGGGGGGGGGGGGGGGGGGGGGGGTGGGGGGGGGGGGGGGGGGGGGGGGGGGGGGGGGGGGGGGGTGGGGGGGGGGGGGGGGGGGGGTGGGGGGGGGGGGGGGGGGGGGGGGGGGGGTGGGGGGGGGGGGGGGGGGGGGGGGGGGGGGGGGGGGGGTGGGGGGGGGGGGGGGGGGGGGGGGGGGGGGGGGGGGGGGGGGTGGGGGGGGGGGGGGGGGGGGGGGGGGGGGGGGGGGGGGGGGGGGGGGGGGGGGGGGGGGTGGGGGGGGGGGGGGGGGGGGGGGGGGGGGTGGGGGGGGGGGGGGGGGGGGGGGGGGGGGGGGGGGGGGGGGGGGGGGGGGGGGTGGGGGGGGGGGGGGGGGGGGGGGGGGGGGGGGGGGGGGGGGGGGGGGGGTGGGGGGGGGGGGGGGGGGGGGGGGGGGGGGGGGGGGGGGGGGGGGGGGGGGGGGGGGGGGGGGGGGGGGGGGGGGGGGGTGGGGGGGGGGGGGGGGGGGGGGGGGGGGGGGGGGGGGGGGGGGGGGGGGGGGGGGGGGGGGGGGGGGGGGGGGGGGGGTGGGGGGGGGGGGGGGGGGGGGGGGGGGGGGTGGGGGGGGGGGGGGGGGGGGGGGGGGGGGGGGGGGGGGGGGGGGGGGGGGGGGGGGGGGTGGGGGGGGGGGGGGGGGGGGGGGGGGGGGGGGGGGGGGGGGGGGGGGGGGGGGGGGGGGGGGGGGGGGGGGGGGGGGGGGGGGGGGGGGGGGGGGGGGGGGGGGGGGTGGGGGGGGGGGGGGGGGGGGGGGGGGGGGGGGGGGGGGGGGGGGGGGTGGGGGGGGGGGGGGGGGGGGGGGGGGGGGGGGGGGGGGGGGGGGGGGGGTGGGGGGGGGGGGGGGGGGGGGGGGGGGGGGGGGGGGGGGGGGGGGGGTGGGGGGGGGGGGGGGGGGGGGGGGGGGGGGGGGGGGGGGGGGGGGGGGGGGGGGGGGGGGGGGGGGGGGGGGGGGGGGGTGGGGGGGGGGGGGGGGGGGGGGGGGGGGGGGGGGGGGGGTGGGGGGGGGGGGGGGGGGGGGGGGGGGGGGTGGGGGGGGGGGGGGGGGGGGGGGGGGGGGGGGGTGGGGGGGGGGGGGGGGGGGGGGGGGGGGGGGGGGGGGGGGGGGGGGGGGGGGGGGGGGGGGGGGGGGGGGGGGGGGGGGGGGGGGGGGGGTGGGGGGGGGGGGGGGGGGGGGGGGGGGGGGGGGGGGGGGGGGGGGGGGGGGGGGGGGGGGGGGGGGGGGGGGGG